CCCTACAAACGCCAGGTCCAGCACCGTCCGGCCGCAAAGCTCGATGAGTTCCCTCGCCCCGGCGGGCGGGGGCTCGTCGCCCGGCAGCTCCGACGCCCTCCTCAGCACCCAGTCGGCATCCGTCTCGAGAAGCCGGCCGGTCACCACCGGCTTGCCCCCGACCCTGCGGATCACGTCCCCGTCGCGGGTGGTCAGCAGGACCCACACGCCGGTGTCCGCGAGCGTCGCGACCACCTCGGCCTCGCACACGTTGTCCACGGCGACCAGGCACCGTAGCGGCCGCCGCTGGCGCGCCCCGCCGTGGCCGGCGGCGTCGGCGACGGCGGCCTGCCTCTGCTGCTGACCACCGCCTTCCACGAGGGCCTTGACGTAGGCCGCTCCACCGCCGCCGCCGTCGTCCGCAGCACCGCTCCCGCTCCCGCCGCCATGACGGGGTCCTCCCCAGGGGTCATCGGAGCTGGCGCCAGCGCCGGCGCCGCCCACGGGGGGGGCGCCAAAGCCGTGCTTGATGCCGACCTCCTCGTACATAATCCTCGCCAGCCTTTTCATCAGGGACGGGAGGCGGTCTCGGTCGCCGTCGCCCTCGTTGACGGGCAGCCAGACCACGCCGTCGGAGAAGTACTCCAGCACCTCGGGCCCACGCACGATCTCCGCCGCTGTCGCGGTCTTCCCGGTCCCGCTCTCTCCCACAAGACCCACCACCCGGGGCCCCGCCTCCCTCCCCCCGCCTCCCGCCCGCCCGCCGCCGCCCGCGGTGTAGCCGTCCCCGCTGCTGCTGCTCCTGCCGCCGCGGCTATTGCTGCCCCCGGGAGCGGAGAGGAGGCTTCGGAGCACCGTGCCGATGACCAGCTCGCGCCTCACGTGCCAGCTCTCGCGGCGGGGGAGCAAGGATGGGACTCGAGCTCTTGGAGGGGATCTCTTCGGCTGACGCGCCAGGTCGACCTCCTGCTGGGTCAGGACGTCGCCAATGCCGCCCGGGCTGCTCCCGTACCCTCCGCCGGTGTCCTCCTGGCAAAAAAAAAATGTACGTTGACCCACAGGTAGAGCAAGACAGTTAAAAAGGCAGCGGAGCGAGGGGGGCGTGATGCAAACGTCTTCGCGTGGGTAGACGCAAGGAGGACATGCAGTAAGAAAGTACCGCTGACACAGAACGGTAAGGAAGCAACGAGGCAAGTTTGCCTGCATGCAGGCATGGAGGATCTCCAAGCACCTGGGACCCACTTCTGGTGCGCATAGACTGCGCGTGCAATCGATCTGTCCCATGTGCTTCACAACCGTATGGAGACGACCGGATACCAACGCTAGGCCGGCGGATTCTCCCCTCGTGTGCATGGGTACGAGAGGGTGGCCCTTGCCATGAGCTGCTGCTTGTCATCCGTCCAAATGGGGGGTTGTGTTCCGATAGTCTATCGAAATACTTGTACTTTCGTAAACACCAAACGCCTACATCTCTATTGTACCCGCTGCAGAAAAGAACCGGTAGTCTGTCTTTGATTGCACGTCTGCTACATTTCCCAAGAACAGCTGCCCACCTTGAGTTGCCTCACGAAAAACAAAAGAAAACAAAAAAACTCACCAAGACGCCCTTGAACACGGCCAAGATCCCCGCAAGGCCCATCTCTCTCGCGGCGTCAAGCACGCGGCCGTTGAGGTCAGCGATCTCGTCCTTGATGCTGCTGCTGCCTGACCTCCGCAGCAGGGTTCGTCGTCTTGCATCCTTCCTCCCCACCAAGAACCCCAACGCCTCGACGCACTCCCGCAACGGCCCGACGTCCAGCAACCGCATTATCCTTTCGCTGCCACCGCCGCCGCCGCCGCCGCCGTTGTTGTCGGGGCCGCGGGTCGCGCTCCTCGTTGTCCCCTTCCCGCTCGGCCCATGCCGCTGCTGCTCGCGTTGTCGTTGTTGTTGGCGCCGTTCGCGTTCCTGCTCGTGCTCTTGGGAGACGACCACGACGGACGCCGCCGCTACGAGGGTGCACATCTTCGCCAGGGCCAGCAGCTCCTCCCTCCTCGTCTTCACCTCGAGGTCGATCGTTGCGGTGATGGCGAGCAGCGACTCGTGTATCCCCTTCACGGCGGGTGAGTGGTCCGTCAGGAGCCGCTGCACCGTGTACTGCGCGTCCGGGGTCTTGGAGGCCATCGCCATGGCGAGCTTCTGCGAGTCGGCGGCTAGGTCCCGCACATCCGCACCGCCGGCGCCGCTGCGTTGAGCCGCGTCGACATGTTCGTGGCCCGCGCCGTCAAATAGCGAAGGAACCATCCCCTGATACCGTACGTACCGTCTTGGCCGTGCGGCCCCGAGAGACTGCCGAGGTGCCGAGGCCGGAGACGAGAAACGGGATTTTCGATCAGAATATGCATGTGTAATGGCGAGGAGTTTTTTGGATTGCCGTAACGTGCATCGCACATGTTTGAGCGACGGACTAGGTCGAAGCGCAGGGTGCGGTGCAACCCGATCCAAAGCTCTCAGGGGTCGCGGAGTCGTCTATCGCACATTTCGGGGAAATCGCATCAGGTTGCGTTCTGCCACGAATACTGTACTGCCTGGGTAGGCATTCCAGCAGTGGCATCTCGTAGTTCGAGTACAATCACTTACGTACCTATCCTGGACATTTTCTTGGCGAAACGGTTTCGCCGCCATGTCACAAGGCGTTACACCAGTGCTGTTGTAGAGCGGTAGTACCGCACGTATATGAAATTTGCGCCGCGATTTTTTCCTTTCGTTGGGGTTTCACCGCCGTGGGTACATGGCGCGGTGCTGGGTTCTGGTCTCCGGTCCACAAGTATGTACTTGAATTCAAGTTGTACATGGAATGGGCACACGGCATCCACCCAAAAACATGCGTGCGTACCGCGCAACCAACGGCGCGTGCACAGCATCGCTCCCAACGTAGATAAAAACAGAAACAAGGAACAAGGGAAAGGCATGCCAAGAAGGAGCTGGAAGTTGCGAGGCACAAGACAGGGATGAATGACGAGAGTTTTTTTTCGGTTTACTGCTGTTGTAGCCGCGCCTTGCGGCAACTACTACCATCGTGTGCATACCGTCAAAGTCACCGCTCTTTTTATTTTTCTGTTAATACAAGTACATATGCATGAATGACACAACGAAGTCTACATACAGCCGTCCCCGCTTCAAAGACGCTCGCTTAAGTCAACTCCCCGCGATAAAGACGGAAAACAAATCTGAACCAGGGTGCCCCGCAGACATATAACATAGAAGGGGGTGTAATTTTTACAGCGCCCCCCCCCCCAAAATTCATGGTACAGCACACCAGCACGCCCGTGTAGACAGCACAGAAAGCTGTCCGCTGCTGCTGGCGCTACTACTTCGTGTGGGTATGGAGAGATTCTTCTCGTGTGCTGGCGGCTCGTCCACCGCCGGCTTGACAGTATGTGGCGAACCAACGTGCACGATGAAGTCTCAACTTGTGTCAGGGGTTCACCTGTGCCCTTGCGGGCGATCCATGCACGCGTTTTGTGGTCGGGGCATCGGAGCGGAGGGCTACGGGCAGCAGAGAGAGTGCACCGATTGCCAGAAGATAACAGCTGAAGACATTGAGGTTCAAGTCCGTGAGGCAGTGAAGAGCGTGGCGTCGTGTAGAGGATGGACCAGAGGTGTTGGAGGAAGAGATAGAAATTGAGCTGCGGGGTGTAGAGGAGGAGGACCTTGACAACATAGATAGACCTCGATGACGATGTGTCCAGTGATGAGGAAGACGGCGACGGTAGGCCAGGGTCGTGCATGACAACGTCGCTTACAGAGGTCGACATCCGCTCTCGTCTCGAGGACTGCCGCTCCTTTTTTTAACGCGAAGGGGAAGGACAGCGAAACACTATAATACCTTCTTTCGAGGACTGCTGTGCATTCGTTTACCCATGAAACTCAAGTCAAGCGAAGAGCGAAGGGGGGGGATGAGGTGCAGGCCACGCTTGGCGACATGTGGAGGGGGCAGTTTCTTGGGGAGGGGCGCGTAAAGCGATGGAATCTGTTTCTTCTTTCGAGTTTGTCTTGTTTTTGTTTCTGGTGCTGTCTGTCTTACCCGATAATTTCTGGTTTATGTTTGTCCCTGTCGGGTAGGTAGCGTGTGGCATAGCACGTGTTCCGTGCTTGAGACTTGTGCGGCATGACAAAGCTGTCGGCAAGATTTTCAACCTGAGGACAACGACAACATAACAATAACAATGCATAGAGACCACGCTGTCGTAGCAAAACGTTGCCATGCAACACTACCCACCTCTCAGCAGTGTATTGCGGGAGGTTGTGTGTGACTGCTAGTGGTGCAGCAACTTCAAACTCGGTTATATAGTACATTCGACTTTCACCCCCCCTGCCACGATGTGACCCCCGAGTGTACGGTGTTCTCGTTTCGTGCTATGTATCCCTGCTGCAACGGGGCGTCTTTTGACGTACGGTACACCTCCATTGACCCCGGGGGTGGTGAGTTATCGTCCCCGGAATATTAAAGTCGGTTCCCCGCTTTGAAAAAAAAAAACGATATGCGTCTTTAAAGCGGGGTCGACTGTATTGTAAAGAAAAGAGAGTCTAAGGTAGATGAGTTATGAACCCATAGCGTCAGCGGAAGCTACCTGTATTTCGACGATTTCCCGAGCAGCATTCAGCGATACCTCCCCGGTAGAAACAGGCTCAGGAAGACAGTGTGGTAAGAGCTATCTTGTATCTATCCAAGTTGATCTATCCGCCCTTTTGTTATTTCAGTACATGTATGACCACAATGCCTCCAAAAATGGTCAACTGCGCCCAAGTTGACAAGCCTTCCGTTTTTTCAGGTCCCCCGCCGTCACCCTACTGCACTATTGCGACACGAAACAAATCCGTCTATAACCTAGGACAA